AGGCTAGGATGCCATGAAAGTCAGTGGTGGACAATCAACAAGAATAATCGTCGCCAGTGTCGCAAATAAAACTCCGCAGTGGGCATTTGTGCGAGTAGAGTGCGAGCAAAGGATGCGATTGGACGAGATCACCGGGCAAGTGGTGTTGTGGTCGACATGGTCGCCACGGGTATTTGGCGATCCGGTCGTAGAATACTGGTATGTCGCCGCGCCGGTGGGCGGGACTTGCGACGTCGCAGCCGTTGCGTACGAGTTGTGTTGTTTCATGGCTAGCTCAAGTTGTCAAAAAAATCACAGACAACGGAATGCTGGTAGAATACGATGTGAATTAACGCAAAGCCCTTTCCCAACGACAGTCTGTGGATACGGTGATGCAATCCCTGGAAATGCCGCGCCATTCACTGCGCGACTCGCCGCGCACAAAGTGAGCGGGGTGACCTGACCAATCCACGAGGGAAGTGCCGTCTTCCAATGGCTGTCGTTGATCGCAGCTGATTGTTTTTGACAACAATATCCTCGCGTTTTTTGGACGACCTTTTGTTACAACGGCTCGAAGAGTAGTGAGTAGAGCCAATAAAGGTGGGCTGGACTAAAGAAAGCAATAACTGCATGCTTACCCTTGTCACTACTCGAAAATGGCGCAACCGCTACCATTGTAGACCAAGCTACTTGCTCGCGGAAGAAGGTGCCATAGAGACAGTTGGCACGATAAGTCCCTAAAGACGAGTAGGATTAATACGCCTGGCAGGACGGAATTCCGCGACCCTGAGAAGGCGCTGCGCAGCGCCCTTTCCAAGGAAGGTACCCTTATAAGGGCCCTATCAAGCTACAACATACCGACCCGAACGCCCACCACGCCCGCCCGCCCACAAATGGACGACCGTTCCTGACGCTCGTATTGATTCATTTGCTAAGCAAATTATGAAGCGAAGGGATTGGTATGAAGCGGCCGTGATGCTGCATGGATATATGAGTACACATATGCAGCCGTATCTTCGGTAGCGGTTATTGGCAAGATGCCTACAGGAAACTCGTCCAAAATTGATTTTTAAGTCATTGAGAACGAAGGCTTTTTCTTCGCAGGATTTTGACCGTTTCACTCCGTTCTTTCGCCATTTCCCCACTATATAGCGCCCTACTAGCATTTTAGGCCGAGTACCAAATTATCGTGCCAACTGCCTTTAAACGGCCGAACAAGGCTGATAGGACAACAACAATGGACTTGCTAACAGTACTTTAGGACATTGACCTTTCCCTCCAGTTAGTCAGGAAACAACCAAGTTTTTGAAGACGATCAGGTATAGAAGCTAGAAATATGGCGTCGGGAGGGTAGTGTGGTCCGCGACGAACAACCTTGTACCGGTTTCGCGGCAAAAAATTGTAAGGGAGGGGCGCTATAGCGCAATATAGGTTCAGTGACGCCTCCTTTTTTCCAGTGACTCCGCCTCCAGACTCTGCCTTCAAGGCCCGCCTTCCAGTGAACAACGGAGCTGCAGGACGAAAAGCCTGAAAGCCGTCACTTGTAGGGTCGTAGAGCTCTTATCGGGAATCAGCTATTGGAATGAGCGATAGAGTTTGAAGGATGGGAGTTCATTGGGCACCTGGCCTTGGATGCGAAACTGGGTGTCTATATAAGGCAGCTGGCGTGTTTTTTCTGCTTTTTCGTTCGCTATCGAGTAAGACCGCACCTTGCCGCCTATGTGCGAGCCCCTAATCCTCTAGCGCATGGACTCCTGGCACTCCATTTCTACCAGGACAAAGACCGTGGCCAGTACAAAGGCACTCGATCTTCTGAACCTCTTGTCAGCTCTCATAAGTTGTTATCACACTCTATCAATTATCGAGGAGGAGATGGCTGTAGTGACAAGTGGGCGCGCTCACCATTTCGCGCACCTGCTGTGTCCCTGGTCTAAATCCCGGGTCGGACTTCCCGCCCCGGCCAAACAGCCTTCTACCCTCGGGGACGGTTGGATTGATCGGGAGATTTGTCTGGGAGGATAAAACACTGACTTGTACATCGGCTGGCCACCGCAAGTCATTGTATAGGCCACATCGCATTCAATAACCCACTACGATTCTGAATGGAAGTAGAATGCGTGCCGCATCCCACAAAGGGATTGATCAACGGCGAAGACTTTATCCTTTATTCGTTCATCAATTATTCATTCCTTACCCTCGATCGCAACGCTAATTCCCCGCTCGAAACTTAAGCACCACCGCCTGCTTGCGACGTCATTTATTGATTGATTTTGATCACTATTATACCCATTTTCTATCTCCTCTTATCAGCCGTAACTTCACTAACTGTCCGCCTCTCTACGCCATCTCCCTGCCCACTTCTTCTTCTCCCTAAGCCCTTAGTGCCGCGCCGTCGCAGGGTCCGCTGTTCTTATTAGACGTCGCCACTTGTTCCGATCCACTGCATCTTCTGCTGTGGCTTTCACTTCAGTGAGGTCCCTCTTGATGACGTCCCTCCATCTTTTCTTTGGGGCTCCTCGTGGTCGCTTGCCCTCTACTTCGAGTTCCAATGCCTTCCTTATTGGGTGGTGTTCAGGCCTTTACTCAGTACGTGCCCATACCATCGCAGTCGCTGCTCTCGTGCCTTCAGCTGGATAGGAGCCGTCTGTGTGACCGCTCTGACGTCCTCGTTTCTGACTCTGTCGAGTCGTGTCCAGCCGCAGGCCCATCTCAGCATCCTCATTTCAGCTGAGTGGAGCTGCCTTTCATGGTTCTTGCAGATGGGCCAGCACTCACTGCCGTAGAGCATTGTAGGCCTTACCACTGCCCGGTACACCTTGCCCATGAGCATTCTCGAGTACCGCCGGTCGCATAGGCTGCTGGGAGATGCACAATTAATTTGATGACCCTCCCTTTTTTGAAAACCACTTGTTTTGGCTCTTATCCTTTAATCAATTCATGCAACTTAAAAGGTGACAAGAAGCCCTTTTCTACCATAAAACGACCATTTAGGGTCGGCTAGGATCAGAAAGAAAAACGATTAAGTGGACGCCGGCTCATTTCGCGTGCCTCTATGACAAACGGCCCGACCGACGCGCTAACAGATTATTAACTGTCCAGCACTTTCTTATCGAAAATCGCCGTCAAACAGTCGGAGAGGTGGTTGAGAAACTTGCCGCTCAAACTATCGGAAAAGCAGTGAATTTGCCGAGCTGTCAACTAGGACAGCGTGAACGGGAGGGGGGGGGGGGGAAGGAATAGCGCACATTAATCTAAGAGTCAAATTTATTCCCCCTAGGCTCAAATTGAGCCCCTTTCGATAGGAATTCCCACCATAGGTACGCCATCGTTTTGAATCACAGCGCGGGAGAGGTCGTACCTAGACCGCAAGGAGAGGGGATTCTACTTAGTCTGAGAAAAGTTTTTCGATAGTTGCTTTCTCTTGCTTCACGGACGCTAGAAAGGGGGCAGCGCCAAAGATCATATAGCCCCCCCTCCCCCGTTGGCCGCACAGCCAAAGATCTATTTAATGTACTATTTGTTTTTATCCTGGAAATAGTCAGTCAGTTCCTAAAGGACCTCCTCCCACCCCTCCCCCTGCGCTCGACAGGGCAAAGAATTTTGGGGGGAAACTAGGAAATTCTCTCCGGAAAAAATTAGGACAGTCGGGAAAATCTAGGAAAGTAGGTAGGATGGGGAGGGGGGTAGTATTTGAGGATGAAATAGGGAGGTCTTATTTTTCAGGAATTCATATGGGGGCTATGGGTGCAGAAAGGAAGATTTATTTCATTACAACGCGATGGCGTGCCCTGATTCTCACAACGATGATGTACGCTAACAAAGAGCGCTCAAAAAGTCGAAAAAACACTGTGCATGGCACATTCCATTCAGACACACTGCAAAACACTTTGAAATTGATTTTTATTCTTAAACAGTTTCTCATAATAAATCAATGAATGGAGCGGGATCGAAATGCACTAAAGAAGAGAAAACGGCAGTAATAAATTAAATTAAACATCTTTATCAACTCTCGACAAAATGTACAGGTATATAGTATCTGATTAGAGACACCGGTATTTCTGGCTGAAGCCTCCGATGCCGGAACGGAGACTGTGACGGAACGCACGACAACGACGACATACACATCCGGCTGGTCAACCGCCGGATGAATGTGCAGGCGAGGATTAGATGAGAGACGCAAGCCCCCAGGTTCATGAGGGCTTCGAAATGCATGCATAATTGCGACGACAGCGACGTCACCACGACGTGATGACGGCACGACCACACACACGACAATAATGATGAGATATATAAATAATAAGCGCTAATTCACACTACACTACAGAAAGCTACAGAAAGAGAAAGACAAATCAACAGAGAAGGGCCGCGAAAATGATGATGAAAGATGAAAGGCGATGATGATGATGATGATGATGAAAGATGATGATGATGAAAGATCTGAGGTGAGCTTATGCTATTCGCGTAGTAGATCGTACACAACTCTATGTGACCCTTAACAAAGGCACATCAAACGTCACTGGATCTGTTTGGCTGACTGGCGCTACGACTAGAACTCTACAGCCCCATCCAGGTCCATTTAGTCCTCCCAAGTCAGCGAATGGCGATTTTCGATACGTAGCTGACAGTTCCTCTTGCCATACCAGTTCACATAGGCGAATTCTGCGTCGGATACGATCGCATTGAAACGTCCACCGAATTTCGCGGCGGCATCGCTCTCGATCTTACGGGCTGCCTCGAGGTTATCCTGAAAATAGTTGGGTTATTCCGAGCTCTGGGACCAGAAGGGGTCTTCGGCGCTGTTTGTCGACGGGGGGGGGGGGGCATTTTGCACTTCAACGACTTCCCATCGACGTGTCGACCCATCTAGACAGCCTCTTCTCGAGTTGACAGGTTTTACCATGATGGCTTGACGAGCTTGCTCCAGCTTCACAAGAGTTCACAGGTTTCACCAGAGTGAGACTTGTAAACCAGAACTAGTGAAGCAACG